TAAACGGGTGCGCGATTATGTTGTAAATCGTTCCATAAAACTCGAGGGGGCTACCGGCAACATCAACCCTTGTCGAATCCGTGTTAACGGTACAGCGTCGTGGATTAGGAGTGAAAGAATGGGAAAAAAAAGAGGAAGGGTTCTCGACTCTCGCGTGAAAGAGGAGGACGTCGACCTCGACGTCGACGAGAGTCGCTCTTTCTCTCTCTCTCTCTCTCTCTCTCTCTCTCTCTCTCTTGTACTCTCTTTCTCTCCAGGTTTACACGCCTAATAAATTACTGTAAACTGGAGCCCGGCTGCGCGAGTCGTCGGCTCTCGTGGTTCGCACGAATAGCAGTTAAGCCGCGGCCGGTGATTTGTGCGATATCGTCCATCGTCCCTATCAGTCCCTGGAATCAGATGCGCGCCTGAATCTTCCCCTAGTAATTTTATCCCGGTTGAAGGTTCAAGTTGCGCTCCTCCGACAAGATTCCGTTTTGCCGGACGACTCGCGGACAACGAGCCGCCACCCTGAACGCGCGCTCGCGTTGAGCATCGTCCGCTTCGTCTTCTTTGTTGCACGAGATTGGAGCTGAAGCAATTCGCGTGTATTGAAAGGAAGAAAAGAGAATCGCAGAATGTCTTCTTCGTCGTACATTGTCATCATGTGTTACTGATATGCTTCTCTACGAATAAATTCGTTAAATTCGCGGCAGTTGAACATTGCTCGAAATATACATTTAATCGGCGCGGAAAAGAGACCCGCTCATGACTCGCGCAAAGAGGAAAAGGGTACAGAGCGCGCGGCTTGAATTAATATACCGGATTTCAGAGACAAGCGTGACCTCGGCATTCGACGGTGGAATTAAGCCGAGAGAGGATATTTCTCAGGACATTATCTCGCGGCCGCACTTTACGCACTTTGATCCGAGACACATTACACGCGGCTCCGTAACGCGCTTCTTATCCACCGCGAATGTCTTCATTTCGTCCCCCGCGATCATCGCGCGACCCCTCGGAAAGCGTTGCGCGTTGCGTTGCGTTGCGTTGCGTCTGGTTGTGCGCGGGGGAAAAATATACGCGGCCGATGCGCCTCTCGGCGCGCTTTTTACCCTCGGCAGCTCGGGTAAGCTGATTACGATGATGTATAGCGGCCACGAATGCATACCCGTGATACAACTGGCTGCAACTTATGGTTCTCCCTCAACGAGAGGCCCCACCAGGCCGCGGGCCCTTTTTGCCCCGGCATCTCCGCCGCGGGAAAATTGCGAGTGATGCGATGGAGGCGCGCGCAGAGAATCGCGATGTGTGCTTAATCAGCTTGATACCGACTGTCCGGCATATTGAGTTAACATTTCTCCGTTCTCAGACCGCGAGAGACTCGCCTTAGAATCGCCGGCGGCGCGACGCAACTCTGTGTTCTTTCAGACGAGATCTTTGGAGTAATTGGTAAATCAACACAGAGACGGAAAAATCTCGCGGCGAATAGCGAAACACCCAGCCACCCAGCCCAAGGCTGCGAATCCCTTTCGCAACAAACCTGCATGACGGGATGAAGACCAGTCGCGACGTCGAAATTATTTTGTCACGATTTTACTTGTGTAATATGTGGTGTTTAAAGAAAAAAAAAGGAAGTATAAATTCCACCGCGATGTCATTAATGTGTAATTGCGGACCTCGATTTCGTGACGTCCGCGCTCGATAGGCGGAAATCGAACGGTGTCGCGTTACATCACACTGTCGACGAAATTACATTGCGGTTTCGCGCAATAGCCCGCATATCAACGGGAGGCTCGATCTTTTTTCTCGCTTTCCGATCAAAGTTCGACCAGCCGCTTCGTCGTCTCCTCATGGAGATGTCGGAGTCGTGACCAACTTTCATAGTTTGCAGATTTTTCCTTTTTGGCTTCACAGAATTGCAAATCCTTGTACAGTGTGAATGCGCATATGTTAATACATGGCGTTGTAGTCCGTGTTACACGAAAAGTAAGGAAAATTTTTTGTGAGAATTTCGCGTGGGTTTCCCACCGAAGAAGAAGAATCCTCCCCGACCCGGTTGTGCATAAAACGCGACGCCAAACGAAACTGCTATGAGGAAAACCAGTCATCCCCGCGGTTTTCGTCCAGGAATAGCCGCTCTTAGGTCGCAGGAAATTTGTCTAGCACTCACCCGTCGCGAATCGATCGCGGCGGAGAACACGAGGGCGATAACGCTGCGTGACTTCTCATTCGCTCCGTGCGGTCCGCTATTTGATCAGCACGCGCGTCTATTACTTTTTGCACGAGCGCTCGAAATAGTAAACGTCCACGGACGCTTCTTTATTGTCGCCGAGGGGAAGAACGGGCCGCCTCGGGCCTCGGAACGCCCGAGCGTTTAACGCGGAACCAATTCGTCGCGCCGTCGCCGCTGCGATAGAGAGCCACGCTTTTTTCTTCTCTCTCTCTCTCTCTCCCTCACACACTCTTACGAGAGACCATCGCCCGCGCGCGCGCTATTCCGCGTGAGTTACGTTACACGGCACTCGTGGCGAATTCGTGGGCGTGAGGTAACGTTCGCCCGCTCAATTTACTGTTAGTACTCCGGTCGATCCGCCCGCCCGAAGTGCCGATTTACGACGCGAGGCCTCGTATTTGCGCGAAGCTTCTACCCCGTTCAGCATTTTCCCGTTTTCTCCGTGAAACGCCCAGCGACCTATCCGGTGGTATCCATCGCGAGAAGTAAGCTTGACAAAAGATCATCTTATTTTTCCATCTCGTCCTTGTACTCTCTGTGATATCCCGCGTAATCAATTCTGATTTTTCAAAAGCGATGAACTTCGTAACGCTTGTTGGCAAAATCTGCCTTCATGTTATCGAACCTCGAGATTTCGAGTTGCTTTCTCTTTCACACAGCTATACATTATCACTTTCAACCAGCATTCGTTCATTGTCGTCAATGCATATCTTTGCAAGTAACCGTCTCAAAATGTATTTTGATTAATGGGCATTACTCCCAAATGTTTTCATTGTTGTCATTTTATGGCGATTATTTTTTTTATATTGACTAGAGTTAGTACAGTTGCAAGCGCTGCAAACAAGCACTCATCAGCATTTTGCATCTTATTTTGCTATTATAACTTTTCTTCTGCCTTTTCTATCCTCTTTCAACACTCGGTGTGTGTCCTATGTACGTCTGTGTGCGCGCCTGTACGTACATCTATGTGTGTGTACTTGGGCATTTATAGAGGCGTTTTCGCCTCATTTTTGGTGTGCACTTTTTGTTTAGTTTTACTGCATGTGTAATAACTATACTTAGGCACGTAATGAAAAGTTAATATTATTATAATTTAATTAATTTATTTTTTATGAGACGCCTTTCAAAATGAAAATCGCAAAGTCACCTCTCCAGTCATTTCAAGGTTTGCATGGGACTCAACGAAGACTAGAGATCGATTGCCAACACCTCGACCTCGCGTCCAAGCCGTGAATCATCGGCACACGCTTTGCGCGGAATAACCAATCTCACTTTCGCGAAAGCGCGGTGATAGGCGGCATTTTTCTCGCATGAATCGGTCGTGTCGTGACGAAAAATTCGACAATTCTGACGTCAATTCGCCAGACCTGTTCCGGATCTCGCACGTTTCGTCAGAGGCTTGTAATCAGACTGCAACTTAACCGTCTCACGCCACCGCTCATTGACGAGAGACAGCAGGTAAACGTGTGTACGCGTTGCGTTCAACCATCGTCGTCACGATCCAGTCGCTCGCAGTCAGCCACTTAACGCGTCTGACTCATAACAGCCACGCATCGTCTCTCACTAATGACATTTTCATTAAAATACGAAGTGCGTTTATTAGAGGCAGTTAGCGGCAGTTTGGCGGGACACTGTCGTGCGCGCAACGCCAATTGCACGTCTCGCGTCCACGATGAAGGAGAGGAGGAGACAGGAGCTGGTGGAATAAGGAGAATGAAACAGACAGACAAATAGAGAGGAAGAGAGAGAGAGAGAGAGAGAGAGAGAGATGAGAGGAAAAATGTCGATATATTGAACGGCTTTTCACGCGAGCGCACCGCGAAAGAACCGGGCGTCGTTAGCTGACGTTTCTCTTCTTCGGGGGGGCCACCCCGAGCCTAAACATTCCCTACTTTACTCTCGCCCATTCGATCTAATAGGTCCGCATTACCTCGCTTTATTGCCTCGTAATTTCCATTTCTGATGTCAGAAAACCAATATAAGCTGCGCGAGATAGCGCGCGCGCGCGCGCAGGGGCGGCGGTCTCCGTCGAGCGCGCGGCGAGTCTCGCGACTTACTTCGCCACAAAGTGGTTTACGATTGAGACGAAAAAGAACGACGCGGGACGTTAATCGTATGACCGAGCGGCTCTCTCGCCTCTTCTCTCGTTCTCTCCGTCTCTCTCTCTCCCTCTCCTCCCCCCTCTCGAGGTCAGGGCATTATCATTTTTCTCGAAGGTTCCTCTTTCGCGTCCACGCGAGTCCGAAGGCGCGCGCGATCTCGATGGAGTCTATAACCTGTTCCGATGATTCCAGCCGGATGATCTCCACAACCGTTACCGTTCGCTCTACCGAGCATAATTTACGTGCTCCGCGCTGTCGTCTATCGCGGACTGGGGCCATTAAAGAAGACGTTGCGTCGCGTAGCTCAATAACAGCTCAAATAACATTTAAAGACCGTGAGACGTCTGAAAGACGTCTAGAGGACGTCTACAAGATTAAGACGTCCCTCAAACTCGGACATCTCTCGAGCATACAATTTCTGTGTTTAGTTTATCTCCGTCGCCCCAATTAGCCTTACACGCGAGCAATCTCTCCTCCTTTTTATTTGGGCTGCTGTCTTATTGAAAATGCCGCTTATAAACTGCAGACGCAAATCACGGCGGATCAAGAGTCCCGGCGATTACTTCGCGGCAACAGCTTGATCCGTCGCAATTTCCTGGGCGCGATCAAGACGCGCGATCAAATTCGTTACGCGCCATGCGGATCGGGGATTTAGATGTCGATCGAGTGCTGCGCACAGGACTCACCTGGATAACCCTCCGGGATGACGATCTCCGGTCCCACCTTGACATCATGCCGGTACCGGTGTATCAGCAGGCTCGCGGTGACTCTCAGCGACCTCGGCTGCTGCTTGTACAACAGCACCGGCCTGCCGCCGGCGCCTTCGAGTCTCACCACCCTCGGCAGCGAGAATCGATCGAGAAACTCGCGGAGCGGCATGTATCCGCCGCTGGAGCCGGAACCACCCTCGGCGGTCGCCTCCCTCGAGCTCGGCAGGGATTTCGGCAGCGAAGGCACCTCCTCGCTGGACATCGTCGAGAACTCGCCGTTCGACGACATAACTACACTTCTAGTCACTTCGCGAATGACATCATCGTGTGGATCGTCACGTGCATGCGGACGAAACGGAGAAGGCTGATAATACGGTCCAGAGATCACCGCCAAGTCGAGAAAATCGGGTGCTGGTAGATCGGCTAGAGAGTCTGCTTCTTCTCCTTCTTCAGGGCGACGCCGAGAAGCTCGAGGGCGTAGCGTCATTTGATCTTCGTGGCGGCGAGGCAGGCTCGACGCTTGCTTTCGAGGGCATTTTTACTCCTCTCTCGACACCCGCTCATTACCGGTTAATAATGGGCTCGAATAGGCGACCACTTTTTACGATTATGTCACTCCGTCGCGGTCGTCACTCTGGTCGTCTCGCAGGCGATTGATGATACGTGTTGCGCGTCGATGACAGCTACACTAATTCTCTGATAAGTTTGATCCGCTTCTTCCTTGAGACGATAATTGCGCTATCGAAGATACGTGGGAGAAAGAGCGAAAAATCAGGCGAAACACATGAGAGGGTTAAGCAATCGGTATTCTTGCTCGCGTTCTCCGAGGAATGATCGATTCTCTTTGTCAAACGGTATGAAACATCCGCGTGAATTGGATCGGACGTTTAGGCCGGATCATTGATCACGGTGTTAAACAATACGTGAAACTCCGTTCACTAGCCACTAAACCGTTGCCCGAGGCAACGGCGCGCAGTGAGGATCAGGGATCACGAAACACCGTCGACGATCCGTGTCGGACGAACCGGTCGATCGTCGTTCCGAGTCGGCGGCACTGTCAAGACGATCCGCTCGCGGGTTTGCCACTTTCCGCGTTACACTTTTCACACGACTGGATCATCTCCTCCTCTCCTCTCTTATTCTTCCTGCTCGTCTTGCTCTTCCGCCTCCACCGGTCAGGGCGGTAGCGCGAAAACTATCACGATCTATCGATAGTATCCTCGACGGTAAACACCGCTGAGCGCGGCCGGCCGACGCATCTCTTCTTCTTCTTCTTCTCCTCCTCCTCCTCCTCCTCCTCCTCCTCTTTCTTCTTACGGGCAAAACTATTACGATCTATCGGCCGGTATCCGTGATGACCACCGGCGGGCGAGTGAGGGAAGAAGAGGAGCGCGCGTTCCTCTATCTTCTTACGGGGAAGCTATCAGTATCCATCGACGATATCCTCCCTGATGGGGCGAACGCCGGCGAGCAGAAGAAGCGAACGATGAAGACCGCCTCTCTCTCTGCACGCGGCCAACGAGGTATCTTCCGGATGTCCTGTTCCCAATGATGAACGACGAGGCCTCCTCTTCCGGGCTGTGTGTTTCGTTTTCGAGCTTTCGTCTGCCAGGCGTCCGCGGAGGATGGATGGATCCGATGGATGCGATCGAACGATGAATCCCGCACGGCTGAACCCGCTGCCGCTCCTCGCTGTTCTCGCGCACTCTCTACTCCTTCCTCTCTTTCACTCTCTTTCTCTCTCCCCCTCCCTCTCCGTCTGTCTCACCTTACGCGAAGGCAGTTATCTCCCGCGGTTCGATCCCCGTGGCGTTTATGATTTACCGGTGCAGCCTTTCTTTCGCCGTTTTCTTACGCGGGTCTCGCGAGATACATCTCTCGTGGCGGGCGTTTTTATTGCTTTATACCGGCGTGCAGGCCGCGGGGTGCCTTCAGACGCCTTGATAACTGGGTCTGAGCTGCATCCTGGTAGCCTCGAACAGGACCTACCGTGTCCCGCGCGGACGAGGGCGAGAGAAGGAGGCAGAGGTCCCGCGGGGATATTCTTCAGACACCTTGTCGGCCGAGGTCGCGCCACATCGCGGTGGTCTGAAACAGATAGGCCGAGATACGTGCTCAAAGTGCTTCTACCGCGGCCGGACTGCATCCGATCGCGGAAACGCGTCCGCGATTGATCGGCGCCGCTTCCTCGTGAGCGAGACCTAACTGACGCGTTTAATCGTCGTGTTGAACCGACCGCGTAATTAAAAAACCACGAAAGATTACTTTTCACGGGGCAACGGGGCAATTTGCGAGATCGATCTTTTTTGAATTCCGCCGCGGGGTAGAGCCAGCAACGCGGTCATACGAAGTAACGAAGTCCCCAAATGCATCCCTCGGCGCGGATCAGAACTTCCTACCTAAATTTTCAACTAGAATTTTTACCTAAGGGTCCTCTAGACCCCTCAAGAGCTTAAGTTGTACCAAAAGATCCCGTGTAAACGAAAAAGCGGACGAGACGACGACGATAACAACGGCGATAACGACGATGATGTGAATTATCCATTCCGTTATTTTCCACCGTGCGGCTAATCAACGCGTCGAATTTTCCGAAGAGAGGAGAACGGTCTATCGATTTACCGGAGAGTGGTGCGTATTATTTCAGCCTGGTTTTCTGGCCTACAGCGGGACGCGCCTCCGCACCCTTGAAAGAGAGAAAGAGGATCCGATCGGATCGGCGGACGCGAAGTCACTGACGCCCGGCTCGAACTGAGTGGAGTGTAAGAGGTCCACCGGCACCAAGAGCCGCACGTACACAGGCACCGGCGCGCAGGTAGGGCCACGTAGTCGCGCTGGTACCGTGCCACCTCTACCACCGGCCGCTCTGTCAGTGCCAGCAATACCAGCGGCGGCCTGAACCTCGCCCGGAGTCCCTCCATCGCGCGCCGGTTAACAGAATAACGCAACACGGCGCAACCGGGCCGACCTATGTGGACGTGGGCTTATTCAATATGGTTCCTATTGTTGCTCGCGAAGGAAGGTGCCGGTGTGTTACCCCACAGAGAGGAGCGAGCGCGCGCACCGCCCTCGGTGCGCTGCTTCCTCTAGGAGCGTAATAACCGGCCGCGGTAGTAGCATATACCGAGTCGGCACGCCAAGTGTGTATGCACAGCAACGACGAGCAACGGACCTGACAATTGCGGCGTGCTGAGATTAAATGGCAGCCGATCAGATCGACGCCGGGATCGGAAGCTACCAGTGAGACCGCGCGAATCGATCTCTCGCGAGGAAGGGACGGTGAGAGGATCGAGGGAAGGGACGGCTTCTCGAGTGTTGAGCTCTTCGTCGGGTCGCTTCGTTGGGCTCGAGACGCGTGATGCGCCTTGATTTTTACAGCGATCTCTTGAATCCTGGATTAAGATTCTCAATTGGGACTTCTCCACGAAGATCTTATTCATTCATTCATTCTTCTTTCTCTTTTTTAATATTGATTTAGAACTAAGGTTCCACAGATAATTGTAAGTATATTATTGAGACAGCGTTCTCAAGGTTCAATAAAGGGGCGAAATATATTTAAACTGTAATGTCGGTACGCGTCTCACAAAGCTAGGGCTTTGTATTTGCTATAAAAAGCAATGTCTCTCAGTAATATTGTCATTAGGGATGATATCCACTTTATACAATTCCATTTTCAGATGATTAGATTCATTGATACAGTTATACAGTTACAATGAGAGAAAAAAATATTTGAAAAATAGTAAATATTTTTTTTTAGTAAACATTAATAACATATTTATTTCGATATATAAATCGAAATCCTTTAGTTTAAATAGAAGAAACAATTGCTTTCATGAAAGGCTAAGATTTTTTTAAGATTTTAAGAAAATGTATATTTATTTATTTGTACAAAATACTTTATATCAGTATATAAATAAATATGTTATTAGTATCTTTATCGAATAAATATTTTAATATTTATGATTATTTTTTAGAAATATTTTTTTTTGTGTAGGGCATGATAAAAATATGTAGCCCATATCCTGGAGCGGAGCACCATAAGTATATGTGATATTATCCAGAATGGTTCATTTCAAATGATTAAAAATGAGCTTTGTTTTTAATATAATGATTTTTGATTCTAGCAATCAGATCAAGCATTCCTGGAAAGGAATTTAATTTTGTGAAACCAAGGAAAATATTTTATTCGGTTGCGAAATATTTGATCAAAGGCAAGCATCGAGTCTTCACCCTTCGAGATTGAAGTCGCACTGCGACTTAAATGTCTACCGCGAAAAAATGGCACGCACCTCCGTGCAAAGAGACATCCGCGAATGAAATGTTACATGCGAATTCCTTATACGGTTATGCTTAAATAAAACGAGCGCAACGTAGTCCCTATATTTGGTAACACTCGCGCATGGGATTCAATGGCGACGATATCGCGTGTGATAGCCTTCTCTTCTCGCTCGCGCGCGAAGGCTTCGAATTTATACGTCGTCTTGCACTTCAACGCCCGCTCGTTCGCTCGTTCGCGCTTACCATCGCGGATAGCATCGTAAAAATTACGAGCGAACTGCCGTGGTTTCCGAGTGGGCGGAAAGTGGAACGACCTTGAATTTAATTTTTATCGGGCGTGCATTACCGGTGCGGGGGACTGGGCGTCCGTTACATCATTATGGGTTTCTCTCTCACACGGGCCGTGCACGATTCTTCTTATGGAAATCGCTCACGCCACGTACGCATTAGGTGCCATAAATGTCTCGACCGCCGGTAGGATGGTCTTTAGGTGTTTGTTAGACAAATCGTAATGAGTAGAAGAGATTAACCAAAGCAAACAGAGAAGATTTTAACGCTTCTAACGCGTTTCTAACGCTTTTCTAACGCGTTTCTAACGCTTTAATCAATCTCTTCGATCTCGAATTTCCACACGGAACAAAGAATATAGTTGTAAATCTGATTGTGCCAATCAGAATCAAAAGTAAAGTGCTGAACAACTAATTATGTGATTGCTGCAACCACAGTGCAGTTGCTGAGTTGCAGTGACGATATCTGATTACTCCAATTAAAGTACACTTTTAATTGGAGTATTAATTGGTGTATTTACATTAAAAAAAAAAGATTTTGTTGTATCAAAATTTGGCACACTGGACCATAATTTAGTTAAGATAGGATCAACCAAACATTTCACTGCTGTTATGTACGTGTCTTGCTTTCTCCGTGATGCTTGACTTAAGTAAAAAATATGCAATGTCAACCAAATCGTATATGTATCCAATATTTTAGTTTGAAATACAAAAATAAAATTTTCAGTGCATAGTAAGTGCCACTCCAACCAATTTCTGATTGCCACAAACCAGATCACGCGCAATTAGATTGACGTAGTTGATGTACCAAAGTAATTGAGTCATATCAAATATACACATACCATCACACAACGATTACCAGGGTGACAACAACTATGCTGCTCGCAACTATTTCTGGTTGTGTATCCCTTTTTCCGTGTACTTTCGCGAAATTGATTTCTTCCGATAATTTCTTCGTCTCTCGTCTTGTTTCTTTCACGGGGTGGTTTCTCCAAGGGAATCATTTTCGCTCTTTTGTTCGGCACGCCTGCACGCGATCCCGCACGCGCGGTGCACGCTACGCGGTTTCAGCATTACGCCGTGCGGGAAATAGCAGCGCGGCAATTACGCGCATGATCGTTTGCCGGTTGACAGACGGAGGAAATCGTCGGTCTACTACCGTTAAATCGCGGACGCGAAAGCGTTACGCAACGCGAATACGCAATGTCCCATACAGCGTGCGCCCAATGTTTCCGTATGATCCAACCGTCGTTACATTATCGTCACCGTCGTCGTTAGACGTCGACGTGATGATCACCGTCGTTTTCATCGCGCTTTGCGGAACATCGTCGGACTTTGGCTAAGAATCGGTTAAGGACCGTGAACAAGCACGCCCGCGCGCGAATTTCCGCGTGAATTCTGGGAGTTTCGCCGGAGAAGACTCTGTATCGCTGTAATTTACATCGTTGGGTTCTAGGATGTAACGGTGCGGCGTGCGATATTCGCGAAATACGGCGCGGAGAATCCGTATTACCGTTCGCGATACCATCGGATCTACCGGCGGGTAGATTACGGTAATCTCTTTCTCTCTCTCTCTATCTCTCTCTCTCTCTCTCTCTCTCTCTCTCTCTCTCTCTCTCTCTTTCTCTCTCTATCTATCTTGGATGTATAACGTGAATTAACGAACAAATATTTCGCTAATAGCGGGACAGATGATATGTGCTGCGCCGGCCGGAGATCTCGCAAAAATCGCGGAATATCGCGCGAGCAGCCAAGCATTACGGGAGAATGCCATTCGAGGCTGCTAACAAGATCGAAGAAATGGCGAGAGATCCTGAAAAACTCGCGCCACAAAGTGGCAGGCGTATCTCGTTGCCGTAACACCTTGCGATCACCGCAACCTGTGTTACGTTCCATCGTAGCCGGGTCTTCCCTCTTCTTAGCACGCTGAATCCTCATCGGATCCCAATATTTAGATCAAATTCAGTTATTGCAGTGTTGCACTCGCAGAATCTCTTAACTTTGAACTCGTGTCTTAAGTGAATCATTTTATAATTCCATCCTCATGAGACTAATTATGCGCCCTACTAATTCGCGGTTCGGCGAACAGTCCACATTTCTTTCGCTACGACACGAAGAGGACACGAAGAGCCCTATTTACGGACTATATAAACGATTATTGAAATGACACAACTGAGAAATATATAATCTCATCCTTAGCGGAATCCTCTGAATCCTGGAGGATTTTATTTTTATACATGACTCCTCAATTCACCCGTGATTGTTCGGTTCTTACACCGAACTCTTCGATCGGTAATTATTATATACCGATCTACCGGACTCAGGTCTCACAACGAATCTTCGCTGCTGAACTCAGACAGGCGATCCCGACAACCCCTCTAACGAGGTCGAAGTTACGGCGACGTGCTTCTGGGCTTCATCTTGGCCGCGATGTTATGGCGCGATACGGCGTGAGGGTAGGAACGCGGCCGCGCGGCGTATGCGAAACGCCGGGTTTATTAATACCGTCGGTGGCGACGCGCGCCGGTCCATTTAATTCTATATTTACCGCGGGCACGTTTAGTTAGCGGCGCGCGAGGTACGGAGGGAGGTGAGAAAGAGGGTGGACAGAGAGGAGAGGAAGGGAAGGGCAGGAGAGAGAGAGAGAGAGAGAGAGAGAGAAAAAGAGAGAAAAAGAGCGAGATGCGGACTAATCTGTGGAAAGGATCAGTCAAGGCGAGCCGGAGGGTCCATCGGCGCGCGAGGAGATCGTCGTGGAGCGATCTTCCCACGGCGCGGCGTTGCGCGTCCGAGGCGCGCGACCTTGCGCGGCCTCGCAAGGACAAGGCCGCTATTTTCGACGCGCGAACAATTATTATTACCGATGTGTGCGGCCGCACACGTGCGCGAAACGCTCGCGTACGTGCGAGAGGCTCAAGCCAGGGTGTGGCCGGCCGCCGCTCGTTGCTCCGGAGTGGCGCGCGGGAGAAAACAAAGCTCCCCCGAGCGTAATCGCGCGTTCGCGCAGAGCCAAGATCAAGGGAAACTTGCTCTCTCTGCCACGCTCCGCAGCTTGATGCGAGGCGCGCGATTATGCACTTTTGCAGGTGTGCAAGGTCGGCCGCGGCGAATTGTAATCGGGCGCGTTTATTTCGCGCGCGCTCGCTCGCTAGCTCGCGGGATTCCTCGGCCGAGGTGTGTCTTGCGATGCGACGCGAGAGAGCGAGAGCGAGAGCGAGAGTGAGACCGGGTG